TCTTATTCATATTATTATTTAATTTCTTTTTATTTTAATTATTTATTATTTTATCATAAATTCATAATGGATTCACAAAATGATGCATTCGGAGGATCATCCCCAAATGAATTTTACGTTCCATCCACCAAAGAAATGGAAGGGTTCAATCCATTTTCACCCTTTCCTCCAGAGGCAGCAGCTGCAATTCCAAAACCACATTCGGTCGAGACGAGGTGTAGCCAAACACATGCGAGCTGCGAGTCAACAGGCACGAGCACAGCCCAACCCCCCCGACCATCAAAGAGGGTCGTGTTCGAGATGTATGGCAACACTTCACCAAATCAAAACAACCAAAGACAAATGGGGAGAGGGAAGAATCATGTGGGATATGTAATTTCTACGGAACCATTATTGGCGCTGAGTAGGGGACTTCGACGATGCGACGACACGTGGAGAAGAAGCACCGCCAAATAATATAGTTGCCCGGTATATCTTCAACCGGATCAGGTAGACAAATTCAAACTCAACTTAATTTTAATCCACAATCTTCAACTTTTTCAACATGGCAATACAATGCACATGTTGCACGAGAGGAAATAGCAAGATTCATAGTTGCTACAGACTCTCCCATTTGTTTATCGGAAAATCCTTATTTTATTCACATGATTAAAACTGTATTTTGTCCAGCATATACCCCTGTTAGTAGAAGTACAAGTAGAAGAGATATACTAAAACTTTATAAAAAAATAAATAATAAACTTAAAAACGAATTTCAAAATTTTAGAAATATATCTATTGCACTTACATCAAACATATGAGCTTGTAGATCAAAAACTGATTTTTTCTTGTAGATCAAAAACCGATTTTTTAACTGTCACAGTACATTTCTTAGATCATAATTGGGGTTTAAAACAAAAATTAATAGGTTTTAAACCATTATATGAAAAACATAGTGCTGAAACTATTTATTTTATAATTCTTGAAGTTTTGCAAGAATATGTATTGACTGATAGAGTTGTAGCACTAACGCTTGATAATGCAGCTGCTAACATCGCGGCAATCTTTTTATTTGAAAAGAGATTGGAACCGCATGGTGAAGGGAAATTTTTTCACCAGAGATGTGTCTGCCACATCATCAATTTGATAGTTAAAGCAGGTTTAGATGTTATACATTCAAAGATGAAGAGGGTGTGCGCGGCTCTCGAATTTATCATCAGTGGTAGCAATAAAAGATGGCAGGAGTACATCAAATATTGTAAGTAAGAGGACCACCGGTTTGACCTTTGAAGTTATGTACGGACATGCCTATCCGTTGGAACTCCACTTATTTGATGTTGGAAAAAGTTTTGCCAACCGCGAAACAAATTACAGATTTCGTCAACTAGAAGCACTATCCAGAGGAAGTTGTCAGCTATGTTGATTGGGCGGTTTGTGAACTTTTTATTCATTTCGTAAAAATTTTTATGATGCTACTAATACATTAAATAATATTTATTATCCGACTACTAATTTAGTGTTAGATATTTTACTTCAAATTGCTAAATATAGATATAATAACGTTTTAAGGGAAATTGTTTTAAAGATTGAAGAAAAATATGAGAAATATTGGTTAGATATTCCATTCTTATATGGATTAGGTCTTGTTCTAGATCTTAGGTTTAAATTACACGTAGTTAACTGTATAATTACTGAGTTAGGCCAGCATTTAGGACATGATCATACGTCTTATTTGAATGACTTTAAACAACAATTGGATAGCCTTTTTTCTTTATATGAGAATAGGTAAAATGAAAGTGGAAGTGGAACGTTCAGGAGAGACGATCAGGACCTTGATGCAGCCCTCCGTCAAGGATCGATCAAGTGTATGTATATAGAACGTGGCGGAAGTAGCAGCTCCAGCTCGTACATACATGGACCAAATGAGCTGAATTGCTACCTACAAGTGGACTTGTCCTTTATGACGATGAAGCAGAAATATGACATGGATATTCTTCAATGGTGGAACCAACATGAAAGTCGATTCCCCATTGTAGCCCAAATGGCATGTGACGTTTTATCTGTGTCGGTTCTACAATTGCATCCGAATCAACATTTTCAACGAGTGGTCAGATTGTTGAAGACAGAAGATGTTCTTTAACCGATGAGATGATTGAAGTGATAACGTATTTACGGGATTAGATTCATGCAGAAAGAAGACTACAACAGCATCCTGAAGATCCTGAACTACTCGAACTCTTTAGGAATACAGATTTGAATGATGTAAACATTGTTGACAATGAAGATGAATAATTCAATATAAAAAATTATTTAATTGTTTATTTGTGAAGCGTGAATGTGTGAAATGTGAATATTACATTTATGTTAAAAATTAAAATTAACTATTAATTTTTTTATTATTTTTTATTTTTTAAAATTAATTAAATTTTTAGAAACCTACTAATCTACCCCTGAAAAATACTAAAAACCCCCTACCAAATTTTATTTCGCCCCTAAAATATAAAAAAAGATCAGGGGGGAAAAGAAATTTTTCAGGCCCATAGGCCGGTCTTGGGCCCATGGGACCGGTCCTAGGGTCCGATCCAAGTCCTAATATTGCTCATAGGCCTAGGACCAGTCCCAAGCCCATGAGCGACTGGTCCCATTTGGGACCAGCCCTAAAAGGACCAATCCCAAACGGGCCCAAGCCCAAGCTTGCTTGGGATTGGTCCTTGACTAGCTCTAAGTCGTAGGCGAAATTGGACTGCAGTGATGGTGCATGCTTAGAGTGTGACTAAAACCGTTTATGTAGTGGTTAGGATTGTTAGACTCCTTATAGTTATGGTCCTACACTTTTAATATAATTACATTATGGTCCTACACTTTTATGCTGATGTGGATTGTAATAAAAGAAATATATACAGTTGTGTCTCTTGGGCAGTTGTCTTTGATGGAAAGACAACTGCATTTATAAAGAAGACTTTACAGGTCCCCATTTGATGCAATTTTCATTTTTTATTCCCAAAACTATCGCTCTAAAATTACAGTCAGTGAAAGACACTGTATTCTGAAGAAGCAAGAAGACTAAACAATAATTATTATGGCTGAAGGTTTGTAAATTACTTCCGCATATATTCAATGAGTATTTAGATGTTTATAATTAATTATATTATGAACTTTTATATGAATATTGGAATAGAAATGTATTTACAAAGATTTCTGAAATTGGAATTGATTTGAAGAGTATGTTAAAATTGTTCCCAGATAGATCATTCAAGTAATACTGAAACTCCAGCGTTTGCAAATTTCCAATTTTTCACATCTACTTTTAACACTTTCTATAACATTTTCCATTACCTTAAATGTGTTTGGACCTACAGAACAACCCAAACCGTTCCCATTTCCTTTGCTCATGCAAAGCACATCCTTTGTAATGGGTGCTTCAGGAATTCAACCGCAAATGATGCAAAGAGGCAATAGCGAAAAAGGTCGGCAAAATTGGAATGCGGTGGTGGTGCGTTCGTGGAGTGCGACTGAAACGTGGAGTGCGTTTGGCTGTGCGTTTTCTGTGCCGCAAAATTTGAGGAAATGAATTTTGGGAGGCAATTTTGAATTTGGCAGAGTTCCAATTTTGCAAATCACATTTAATTGATTTTTTTTAAATATGGAAATCAAAATCGCTTTAAAAAAAAGAGGGAATTTAAAATTCGGCGGACATTTGTGCCCTTAAAATTTGACTTAGAATTACAAAAGTAATGGTTTAAACATAGGAGGCCTTTGGTTCAGGAATGTTAGATTACTGGGAATATTGAATTACTGGAAAGATAGATTACCTTGAAAGATTACTGGGAATCTTTAGAAAAATATGTTTGGTTAGTTAGTGAGTATGTTATATTAATATGTTTGGTTATGTGGAATAAATTGGTGGGTATGCTATTTAAATTACTAAATTGTCTCCCTTTTAAATATTAATATAAAATTATTTTTATTATTAATTTTTGAATAATTTTTTTAACCCCCAATATTTCAGATTTAGCTAAAACACCCCCGCTTATATAAAACTTTAATTTATGACGAAATCACCCCCACCTCCTGCCGCCACCGCGAACCACCGTCGGATGTCCCCGTGAGTACATCACCGTGACCAAGAGGCTCCACTATGGCCGTTTTTGGCCATATTGATGGCCGAAAACGGCCATATCGGGCCAGATCTATTCTGGCCTGAAACGGCATAATAGATCTGGCCATTTCCGGCCCGATATGGCCGTTTTCGGCCATCAATATGGCCAAAAACGGCCATATCAAAGCCTTTCGGAGCCTCCCACAAAATTTCCTTCTTTTTTAGGGACTCCGGCAATTTTTCGGCGGTGGTCCGTGGTGGTTGACCCACTGTCGACGGTGGTGGCTGGGTGGCTGTGGTGGTAGTGGCTTGGTGGCAGTGATGGTCTGTAAATTATTTTAATATAAGGGCATTATTGTCCAAAATTTTAATTAACAGGGTAAAATTGAAATAGGATATTAATGTAAATTTGTTTTAAAGTAAGGGTATTATTGTCCAAAATTTTTATTAATAAGGGATAAAATTATAACAAAAAAAGATAACCCTGGTAATCTCAGAAAACCTATGAAAATGGAGGTAATCAAATTACCTCTTATATTACCAATAATAACCACTATTGGTATTTGAAGATTACTGGTATCTTATATTACTTGACAACGAAACATGGTAATCAAGTAATATAAGATGACATTACCCCAGTAATCACACTTAACCCCGAACCAAACGCCCCCATAGAGTAATGTTACATTTACACCATTTTTTTACACCATTTTTATTACATAATGATATAACATATACCACAACCACACAAATTCTATTATAATATATAAAATTTAAAATAATTAAAAATTTATCACAAAAGATTCACAACATCCATCCATCCATCTATAGTATCTTATTCAACATGGATTGTAACTATTCCGAAGAGAAACAGTGGTAAAAGACTTCAAATAAAGTTGATATTCATATTGTATTGCACCTGAAAAGCATATACATTTTAACCGCTTAATGTTTGGTGTAATTACAAATATTTCATATATATCTAGGCCGAGGGAACAAGTACCTCACAAAATCAAATGAAATCTGTTTTGAGTTTACATAAACAACCTAGTTCCTTATACTACAGCAAAACACTAGGGAATGCACAATTATCAGCTCAGCTTCGATACTCTTTGATTTTCTGTGGGACTACAGCATTTGCAAATTTCAAGAGCTGGTGGTACAAAAACAAACTAAACAAAATACCTCAAGCAAAACCAAATTTCAACAGTGTTCCACTATTTGACAGACGTATAGCCTATATTTCCATGCAAAAAAATCTGCACATATGATACATATCAAATTATAGGTTTTTCTTTTTTTTTTTTCAATATATAAATATTTGAATTCATTTTTAGGTTAAATCTCTTACTTGGGACATAAAACATGGATAAACTCTCCAAGGGACCTTGCCCTTGCTTTTCCGTGTTTGCTGTGGATCAATGTTATTCTTTCTTCCAGTAGTTGTGGTTTTAGCAACCTTGGAGGAACCAATCTTCTTTTTCTTCTTATCTTAAGCATTCACATTTGAGTTTCCCCTTGTTGGATTGGACGTTGAAGCAACTGCAGCTAGCGAGTAATACTTGCATCCAGTTTATAAGCCATCAGTTCCCTCAATTAAGTAGATGAGTTTTGGATGGACGCTTGTGGGAATCCTAGAAACGAATCTGCAAATAATATCTACTGGGTTTGGGCCCGATACTTACAAAAAAGGTTACTGAGCAACATGCGTTATTTTAAACACAAAATAAATTTGTTCTGTCAGAACTCTTATACCCTTTACTAGGGGTAGCTGAATAAAGTTTAAAGAAGGCATGCAGGCCTAATATAAAGAAAAAAGAGTATTTCAACTGTATTTAAATTTTTAATATCATGAACAGAGAAGAAATCAGCCAGGCATCAATCTGTAGTCATCTAGACATATCGTATAAGCTCAGCACAGTGATAGTTCACTGCACCAGGAGAACATATAGATATGTAACACTATCGTAAGTACCTGCTTAATCATCATCTTCTACTCTGCCCGTGTCTAGTTTAAGCCAATTTATCAAACTTATCAATACATGACTGAGAAAAACAGATTAGAATTCCTAGACGAAGGTTGCTAAATTTGGCATTAGACAGCAAAAGTCTATTCACTTGTCTCACTAACTCTTTCTTTGATTGAGGACAGTAAAAGAGAAACCCAACCACTCGTGCACATCAATCCAAGACTTTAAATCTCTAATCTTTTCTTTAGGAAAAAAATTAACTACTTAGACAAGTCAAGCCAAATTACTGGGTCAAACTGAAATTTCAAATCTACAACAATGATGCAAATGGACAAAGTACTCACAAGGAAGACACTCAGATGAGTAAGGCAAACATCAAATCCAACCGCATAGCCACCTGCAGCAGAAAGCTGGGCAGTCATCGGCACAGGATCTGCACATTGTTTTCTTCATGGTCCTCCATTCAACAAAAAGTATAGAAGAAAAATATGACTAAATGAAATGGAAGACCAAAATGTATATGTAACATGATGGACATTGATATATAAGTTGGTGAAAATTATTTCAAAATAAATGTAACAATGTAATAAGTTAGAGAATATAAAATAAATTGATTAACAATTAATCTAAAACGTTTAAGCCAATACAAAACAAGCCTGAAAGTAGTATTTAAACTCTAAAATGAATCCTCACATGCAAGGCCAAATTTAATTAACAGACATCTCATGTAGATACAATGACACATGATTCACGTGATTAAACTTTCTTCTTCATTCATCTCAAGTAGGAAGGGATTTTGAAAGCTTAACTGCTTAGCTTGATTTCAAGTTGTACAGAAAAAAAGGGCTTTGTGCTTTTTAGCATGTTTTTGGATGCTATGGGCTGTTTTTGTATGGTTTTTGCTACCTCTAATTCTTTTGAACTCTTTGAGGACAACTGGTCCATTTTACCGAAGTAACAATTTGAAGTTTTTATATACATACCATAAACAAATGGAAATTCAAATACACAAAACATACATTTAAATCCAAAAACATATCTAACTTTAAAAAAAAAAAAAAAAATTAAGGGCCCAACCAGGTTCGAACCGGTGACCTCTTGATCTGCAGTCAAATGCTCTACCACTGAGCTATGGACCCATTTGCTATAAGCATTTCTAACTCTACGTTTTAAATTAATAATAGGAGAATTTTCAACACAAGAATACCGCATCGAAAACCAGTAATCCAAGAAGTTCAAGCTGACAGAAAAGACTCAGAAACAGTATTGAAGTCTAAGAAAAAACCAAGTCCAGATAAACATATTATTCGCAGTTTGGATTCAAATGGCAGGCAGAGGTTTGTGTTCAGGAGTTAACTTTATAAAATGGTCCAGTTCAATTTCCGAGCAACAAAAACCTAATCGCAGAAGAACAGATGTAGAAAACATAGAATAAAACATATAACATTAATGTTTCTACATACATAACACAAAGTCGCATACAAGCATCAATCGTAAATTTAAAAACGTTTTTACCAACTCTTGTTATGGAAAACAGCAGTTGTACTTAAAATTTCCCATTTTTAAGTGAATCATCACCAACAAAAACATTTCACCATTCAAAACAAACCATTCCACTATTCCAAGAGCATAATAAAATTTAAAAAGCTCTAATTTCCAAATTAAAGAAGAAAGGCAATTGATAACTTACCAAATTCATATGATGTCATATTAAAATAACCTTAATCTTAATGCTGTTTTTGGGGCTGCGACAGAGTAGAGTGATTCTGTTGGGCCATGTTGGTGCCTGGTTACAGCAATTGGCGGAATGGATGTTCCTTCTAAATCTCTAACGTTTCCACCACTCTTCTTGATCTAATCCGATTTTACTACGAGGGAAAACAAATAAATAAATAAAAAGGATAAAAGGACAGAAAGTCAAAAATAAAGCTGCAATAACTTCTTCTCCATCATAAACATGAATGATTGATGATATGAATGGAATTCATGTTACAAGTGTCATCGTTTTAATTTTATCTTCATGTGTGAAAAAATAAATGAGAAGATACCAACTTTAACAACGTTTACCTACCATGCTGCAAGCTTGATTTAAATTTACCAACATGTCAGAGCAAAAAAAGGCTTCACTTACAATTTATCGACATGCAAGCAATTCTTCAAAAGGAGAGATTTCGATTTTGAATCAGATGAAGTGTTCTTTATCAAAGCCTCTGCCTGTCCACTTGCTCAGCCCGACCAAGGAGATCAACCATAGATGCTTAGTGATATATAGTCAGATTCAAAACACTTCACAAGCATCATTTCTGAATCCCCATTTCACATCAACAAAGGCCTCCACCCTCAACAACATCATTTTTAAACCATCCTTTACAATTACATAAGGAAAAAATCTCACAAGGTCAGAAACCAACAAAGTTAGCACCTAATTTAAAGTGAAAAGAATAAATAAAGAATTTGGACGTAAACTAGACCACCCATCTCATGAAACAACCTAACAGCCTATTCAAGTTTTGAACTTTAACGCCATAGATCTTCCCCCACAACGGTATGCCATTTAAAAACTCACAACCACATTAAATGTCAACGTATTTATCATACATACCAAGAACTGAAGCACTACAAAAGCACTATATAACTGAAACCCACATTTCACAATCTGCCTAAACATAACCATTAGAAGTCACTAGCAACTCCACACACCTTAAGCTCACAGAGAAACCAACCTCATTGGCCCGAAACCCAAAACGGGCACATAAAACAAAACAAACTCAGACCATTTTTATACAGAAGACATAATACTTGTCCAAAAACCAAGTTTCATTCAGGCATTTGATCAAACATTAAACCAGCACTCAACATATCACCACAAGGCTCGAACATTTCACTATATTGTGCTGTAATAAGATATCTTTAAAATAGACCCAGTTTTGACAAAGCGAAAGTGAAGTGACTATGGCATGGTTAAGTTATTTAACATCACCAAAATGTTGGAAAAGAGAGACAATCTTGAAAGCAAAACCCAGTAAGTGTTGCAAAAACATAATGGGAAATGATCCAAAAGGAAAATTTCTAATATAACTTACAACACTGAACACATTCCTCTCGTTTTGTTTTGGTGGGCTTCTTGCTAAGCTTATGACCTAGCAATATATTACATCGCATAATCTAATCGTTACTTACAAACCTACAGTTTGCCCTAAACCTGAAGGCAACTACACATATAACATGTAAAGTTTCTTAAAAAATATTAAAATAAAATAAATACTAATGTTTTATCATTTTATGTATTGATATTAATATCTATGTATTGATATTGGTTTATCAATAATATTAGAATGAAATAGAATAATAATATAGAATAACATCTCCTATATTTAATAATCTCTTTAAAGTATGGTTAGTATTTTATTACNGTAAAGTTTCTTAAAAAATATTAAAATAAAATAAATACTAATGTTTTATCATTTTAGATATTAATATCTATGTATTGATATTGGTTTATCAATAATATTAGAATGAAATAGAATAATAATATAGAATAACATCTCCTATATTTAATAATCTCTTTAAAGTATGGTTAGTATTTTATTACAATTATAACAACATTTAATATGACTAAGGGAAATGCTGGGACATTGACACTTTGCACCAAAATGTTAAACTGAACGACGTGTCACTTGAGTTAGACAAAGCACGTAGCACATTAAGTAATGTTTCGCGAATGAATGGCCGTTCTTCCATTTTTATTGGACGGTCATTCATTTGAAATTGACTCCCTATAAAGACATTTGTCCATAGTTTAAATAAAAAAAATTTGATAATAAAAATCATGGACGTCTGTCCATATATTATTATGGACAGACGTCGCTACTTAATGGACAGATGGACGCCCATCCATTGTTTCAATTATAAATAAAAAAAAAACAAAATAATCTCATTCTTTTAGCCAAAGTCAGTGAACATTCATGGCACCGTTTCTTTACTTTATTTTTTATTTCAGATGGTGGACCCTTTGACTGCATTGATGTATGCACGGCACCTGTTTATTTACTTTATTTTTTATTGTAGATGGTGGACCCTTTGACTGATGTATGCAGTTCAAGTGATGGAACTTTTATTTACTTTGTGTTTGTGTTTGAAAGTAAATTGAAATATGAGTTTAGAAGAAGAAAATAGAAGGAACATTGCGGGAAAGAGGAGATTTTGTTTTAGAGCAGAGTCCCTATTCAATGGACGAGTGTCCATCTAAGAGGGACGCCCGTCCATTACTTTTGTTTTTAATATTTTTTTTTTTTAATTTCAACAATAGACAGGCATCCATCTAATAGGGATCCTGTCCATAATATATGGATGAGCGTCTATGATTTTTGTTATCAAATTTTTTTAATTTAAACTATAAACGGGCATCCTTATAGGTGGACTCCCGTCCAATAAGTAAGGACGCCCGTCTATTTCAAATGAACGACCGTCCAATAAAAATGGACGGCCTTCTTCTTTCGCGAAATATTTCTTAAAACATGCTACGTGGCTCATCTGACTTAGGTGACACGTCATTCAGTTTAACATTTTGGTGCAAAGCGTCGGTGTCCGTAGCATTATTGTATGGCTAAAAGGGTTAATTTTACATTTGAGATGGCTCAATCATTTTCTAAAACTTTGAAATATCTTTTTTAAAATTATTAAAAAAATATTTGAAAATATCATTAAAAAACTCCTTAAAATATAAATATTCTCCTAAACTACCAAAAGAAAACCTCAATAATATTATTAAAAGCCTCTTAATAAGGGTTTTAAATAATTCTCAAAAGATGTTGGAGTGAATAAAATAAACCAATAACTACAAACTATTTATTGATTGATTATGTAGACCTCCTTTAGGTTCTCAACAATCTCGCCCCTATTGGTGCTTAGGGAGACTCGAACTCAAAACTCATGATGAATCCTTTGCTCTTTACCATCAAATCACTGTGGTGGTGTAACAATTTCATTTTAGAAATAAAAGTTTTATTATCAAAGTAAAGAAAAAAATAAGATTTTTTACTTATCTTCGTAAATTTCTTTAAATGAACGTATCCGTGTCATTAAAAAGTAATATATCATTTTTTAATTACAAACTCCTCCTAAAAAACATCAAAAAACCTCCTAATGGGGTGCATATTCCTTTACAATATTAGTTAATGTATATATAATCGAGGTGTTCGGGTCAGTTTACGTGCACCTCAAACCATCTTCGGGGCTATTGAATAGGCCATGTGGTTTAGATTGACGCAAGGTAATAAAATAAACCTGAAAATAAGAAGAGAATTTTCCTTAATTTGCATACAACAAAAGGAATTTTCTACTTATGCCCATGCAAAAAGACCTCAAAAGAATCTGCTTTTCCATGTCTTCTTTAATGTACAATGATACAAAGTAGTAAATAACAAGCTTATCATCTTCCTTTGTTTGGCCACCACCTCTCCCCAAAATTCCCTCAAAACTCCACGTGGATTCACATAAACCTCAAGAATAGAATACAACCCAAGCTAACCCAACGGTGTAAAATCACAAAGTTGTGGACAATATTTCGCGTTGATTATTCATTGTCTGCATATATAAGCAACTTTTCATCCACCCTTCTGTGTTATCTTCAGCATTTGCCTTAGTTCATTTCAATGGCTTCAGTCTTCAGCGTGTTCAAGTTGTCGTTTCTCGTGAGCTTACTCTCGTTTTTGAACTTGGGTTCATGGCGAGAACCGCCGAAGAGTTTGCATATACTCCCAGCAACTTGCACAAGGATTGAGTGTCCAAGTTTTGACAGTGTTGAAGTTGGAAATGGCTATGAAATTCGAAGATATGATCAGGCTGTGTGGATGTCAACTTCCCCTATTCAAGATATCTCTCTTGTTGCAGCCACCAGAACTGGCTTCCTCCGGTAAGATCATTTCCTTTATTGTAAATTTGTAATTCGCCAACGTGATGTGTCAGCATCGGAGTACGATCTCTACCTCGACACTTGCGGCGCTAGGGTATTGTTAAACTATCCCGACGCCACAGGGGCGTTGACGAATTATACCTACACCGACACCAACTTCTAGCGTTGGGGTTGGTTTTGGCGTCTTGAGACAACTTTTCCTGTAGCGTCTTTTTGAAATTAATGGTCAAATCTTTTTTCTGCGTATTCTCTTGACAGCTTATTCGACTACATTCAGGGGAAGAACAACTACAACAAAACAATAGAGATGACAGCTCCAGTGATCACTGAAGTTGTTCCAAGCGATGGACCCTTGTGTGAATCTTCATTCACAGTCAGTTTTTTTGTGCCAGAAGCGAACCAGGCCAACCCACCTCCGGCAGAAGGCCTCCATGCACAGAAATGGGAACCCACATATGCTGCAGTGAGGCAATTCGGTGGGTTTGTGACAGACTCAAACGTAGGAGAAGAAGCGGCCGCCTTGCAGGCCAGTATTTCAGGCACTGAGTGGCCAGATGCCATTGAGAAAAGCCATGGAAAGAACTCAACTTCAGTGTACACTGTTGCTCAGTACAACTCTCCATTTGAGTTTGACGACAGAGTGAACGAGATATGGATTTTGTTTCATATGGAAAATGAGTACATAATGTGAGAATAACTTTGATGATCACAGTGTTGAGGTTGTGTTAGAACTTAGAAGGTGCAAGGAAGGTGAGGTTAGTTTTATGTGATCAGTGTAACAAGTAACATGTTGAGATATCAACTATTTAATAAAGTGTCTTATCTATTTGCTACTATAAGAAATGTTCCGTTGATAATCTGCATTTGCAATTGTGGAAGTCCATTATCTTTTTATATCTACAAGCATTGAGAAACAACACCACATCACCAAGGAAAAATATGAGCTTGGGGGAAATGGCACTTTACAATTTTCAACAATAATTTAAGGGATAACAAGAATATTCCTTTTCTTGGGTGTTTTAATATTGACGATCCACATGCCTCAATCAACAAACTATTGGAAACAAAAATTTTGAGGCACTTCTTCTACCTGGCTAAGACATCTACTTAAATAATCCCCATGAACTAGAGATTACAATGACTAGAATCTAGAAGTCCGATAATTTACAAACACATCGCAGTTACTATCAGATGAGGATTCAGCTGAAGAATTATCAACCTGCCTGAAATCCTCGTCTCTATGTAATTTGTGTGGAGATTGAGTTGACAGATAAGAGTCCAAAACATAGCCCTTCTTCTCTAAACTGAACCTAGTCTGTGGCTTACTATTTGAAAAAGTCCTACAGCAAACTGTGTTGCGACTGGCAGATTCAGCATACCCAGTCTTGAAGATCGAGGCTGGATCTCCATTTGTATCAGAATAATCCACGGTGCTGAAAGAGTCTCTAGCACTCTCAGTTGTGAACGAAGCCTCATCTGAGCTCGTGAAAAGGGACCAGTCACTTGAAGTTGCATCAGAGAACTCCATGCTCATTGACTCAGTATATCTTTCCATCACCGGCAGTGTACTTTTGTTTGAAGCCCTCCTAAGAATACCATTAGAATTGTACTCAGTAAAGCCAGAAACAATTTCTGGTCTGACATCAGATGAAAACTCTGGCCCAACAACATGGCTACTTGCTTTGTTTTGTCCTTGTCTTGAAGACTTCTGAGTTTTAGGTGTAAAATGCCTTGCAGAAGCTTGAACTGGCTGTCGCATAGCTTTCCCCAAAGATGCTCTTGGGAGTGGTCGGGGGCAGGACCTATGAAACCGTTTATATATAAAGCACAAAATGAATATAATAAAAACATATACAACCGACAATTATTCCAAGAATCCAGTTGAAGACAGAGAACTGGAAAGATTTTCATAAAATCCATTTAAGAACCCTGACATGAGCAAAATTTTCACAACCATGGACCTAAATAATTAGATAAAATATAACAGAATACACACCAAGAACACTGTAAAAAGATTGGTGACCAACAACCAGAAATGTGTTTGGAAACAGAATGATAAGGGATTATCATATCTCAGATTTACAGGGTAAACATAAGATGTAAATTGGCAATTCACACAGTGAGAAAACACTTCTTTTATAGAGCATTTTAGCAACAAATCAAATGTCTACCTCATGTAAAATAGGATATATGCCCCTTCTGACATCACCTGGCTCATTGGCACGGGATGAACCTATAACCCAGAAAATAAAAAATAATTATTTTCTGCTATGAAAACAAAGTAGTAATGAAAATCTTAAGTTATATCCAAAACCAATTAATCTTGTTTGATCTTAATACATCAGATACAGGAAGCATGTCAATTAGCACAATCTGGAGGGAAATAAAATACATGAGTGCTGAGTTTCCTTTCTGTCCTGATAATGGTAAGCTATATCCTCAAGTCAGTGGGAACTCGTACGTAATTTTTCAGAATATAGAACAGATGAAAGACAGGAAGCAATTCATCTACATTAAACAGAAGTTCACTTGTTTTATAGGGTTACTTTTTCTACAATACAGCATATAACATGCAAGAGAACACATTCATTGAACGGTTATGTTCAGAATAAACCATCATTTCAACTCCCATTTATCATATGCAAATAATCAACACATATTTGCCTAACCCAAAGTACTAAAAGAGACAGATTTACCTCAGTGTCATCTACCCTGAACCAACTGCCTTGCAAATCTTTTATATACGACACATAATGCCCTGAAAATGATGCATTCTGTGTATCCAAATGTACAACAACGCCATAAAGCATGTAAAGTGGAGGCATGTCACCCGTTCCAGTCATAAACGGAATCATGTCCAGCATTTCAGGGAAAGTGATACATTTATTTATTTTCCCATATCTTCCTTCCTGATTAAGTAAAGCCCAAAAGTTAATAATCTAATAAATCAAGTAACAAATAAGCCCAAAAACATACAGACAGTATAAGAACAAACAGATTTTATACAGATGTACCAGCCTCAAAATCAATTTGAAGATATTAAAATAGAGGCATCCAGTGACAGCATCTGACTCTAGGTTTGATTAAAATTATGACAATCCAAAACGAAATAAATTACTAAAGGAAACGGAATAACATTACAGACCTGATTGTCATGAATAAAGCAAGTATACCTGGAATCTCTTCAAGACAATTGTCAGGATGTTCGGCGCCTCGTGTATACTCAACTGCTTCCTGGCTCGGACATACGAAGCACACCTTTTCATCAAAACATAGCAGAGCCAGTGAGTTAATACATAAACTTATTGCAATATCCTTGAACTTCCAAAGAACACGTTTCAAGAAGTTAATCAAACCTTCCACATCTGTACATGTTTTCACCATCTAAATCCTCAGCAGTTGTAAATTGAGTCAATGCATCTTCCAGTGACTCAACCCAGCCAAATATCTCTAATGTAAGATCCATAATATTTTCATATCGTTCTGACTCATGATGACATCTAAGACACTTGACCTATTGCATTGAAATTGACAGAGACATCATTCAAAACTACCAAAAGAATAAAAATGAACATAAAATTAAAAAGTAGTTTATTAGAACAAAATTTAAGATAAGTTTTCAGGGGAGCTAATGAGCAATAAAACCTTTGACATAAGGCGCCCGCCAAAAGTATGTTGGATAAAAGTAGTTTCTTGCAGTCTAGGATCAACCCTGCTCTCACCGCCAAGTCCCTCCAAGCATATGGATTGCATTGAAGCAACCAGAAACCTGAAAAAAACAACAGTGATGTACAAAATGTAACTTCTTCAACATATGAAAAACTGAAATTCCATTTACAAATTGAAGCATAGAAGTTGAAAATATTTTACTTCAGATTTATTCAGGATTCAGATGGTAGATATGTGAGAACAGAAGTGAAGCAAAGTAGAACCAGTGTCTCCAGAGAAGTAAAAATGTCTTAAAAAGAAAAAGAAAAAACCAGCTAGCAGATCTTGAAAAACCTTAAAAATTCATGTGCATCTTCCTGGCTTCCATCCCCAATCTGACAATTAATACTTCGCATATGCAACAGGATTCTGCCAGGAGACAGTGGGCCACCACTTTCTCTTAACATCATTACATGTTGCTCAAGTTCACACATTAGACACCAATCTTTCCCACAACCTATCACTCAAATGATAATTAAGAAATCACATATATGCTTGAACAATATACTGATATCAATATCATCAAAGCTAGCACTTAAGGGAAATGAGCAAACATAGTTACAGGCTCTGGAATGTGATCTATGGAGCAAGTAGATGACGAGAGGCTTTGTGCAGGTCAAACACTGCAACACAGCATTAGCATAGCAACTGCATAATAAAAGTTATAATCAACAAAACAGTGAAAGATGACAATCAAGAAACTAATGCATGATCAACTTCTTAACCAATATAATACAAATCAAAACATCTTCGTTTGAAATTATCGAAATTCCAAATCCTAGTTTGCAAACAGGTATAGTAAAAAGGGCAGGCCATACCTATTTCCGCAGTTTACAAGGCCCCTGGGTGATAAATCAAAAACTTCACATTGGAAAAACTTCACAAATTCTTCATAAGGAAACAGCATCTAAGACAACAACATTGCAAATACAAATGAGATCTGCTAATAGTTCAAGAATCCAGCATAAATAGTACACAGATTGCAGTTGATATGTAACTAAATTTAGAGGGAACCTACCTTCATTGTCTTTTTTCCAAGCCAAAGTTCTGGGGCATCCTGCCTGAGTTTGGATGACTTCTTTAAACCCATCATCTTCATAATTCCCATCTTGGAGACCCCACTGCTTCTCTGTGCTGTGATGTTTTCTCTCACTCTTGGAACTTCTGTATCACAAATCCAGGATGAGGAAAACCAGAAACTGCAAAGTATAGAAGGGAGAAGTAATCGAGAAGACCTACTCGATTCATCGTCAATCAGTCCTTTCCTCTCTTTTTCCAAGCATAATTGTTCACCAACTACAGTCATGCATGGCTGTTCACCAACTAGTTTCGTGGATGATTTTGCCGATTTACAAATTTTGGTCCCTCTCAGATTCAATGCATTTTTAACTTTTAAAATTCCATTGAGTGCTGTCATGTCAGAATAACAGTCCACCATTTCATCATTTCCTTTAGGAACAATGTCAGTCTCATTTTCATGTGCATTTGTCCCATATTTTGCAGAATATGGTGCGACTGGAAATCCAGAGCTGCTTCTTGGTTCAGATATGTTTCCATTTTGGCTCTGATAATAATGATTTTCATGCCCTGTACTTCTTGCAGGTCCATGAGTATGGACATTAGAGCCATTGACATTGTGTCGTTTCCGAGTTTCTTCAGCTGATACAACAAAGTCACTAGTTCTTGACTGCAGAAAAAGCTTAGCACAATCAAAAACTACATAATGATTACAGAAAAACTGATGCTTATGAAATAGAAACTTAAAAGGTAAGAACCTTATGCCTCATTGGAGCCTCTTTTGGTGGAACATCTATAACGGAATTTGGATTTGTAGTGCAACTCCCTGGGGATTCTTCGTCAGAATCAAATACAGTTGCATCCTCTCTTCTTAATGATTCTCTGTTGGATTTACGGCAAGCCCGCTTGTCAGCAGTTCTCTCCAGCATAGAGATATGAGAAGAATCAACTGCAGAGCAATGCATGGCAGCAAAGGCACCTCTGCCGATTGATGGGTGAACCATGTCATCAAATGGTGCTCTCTCCATCCCAGTCTTACTATAATACCCAGATAACTGAGAGTTCAAGCTTTCATTAAGCAGAACTGAATCTTGAATTGATTCAGCCAGAGGAGACGAGCATGAGCTAGTTTTCTCTAATTGCTGGCATTCTTGCTTATGACCTTGTCTCCAGTGAATTATCTGACACTTTCCAGAACTGCACACAGGTTATCAGTCTGAATGCTGAGCAATTCTAGAACAAGTTAATTACTATTTTATAGTGTACACCTGCCGGTGGTAAAAACTACTCACACAATTTTTTTTCCTGACCTTTCCTAATGGATGATAAATTATCACTTAATAAGAAGGTGAAAAAAACTACGGGTATCAAAATCTGATAAGGTTGCACAAAACTCAAGGACAAAAACAAATTTATAGAGTAAAAGGACACATTGCTTTGATGTAGCTCCAAAAAGGTGCTTCCTTAGATAAGGATTCAAGGTCTTTTAAAAGTATATATTAATAATAAAGCATGTTGCGACAGAAAAGAAAAAGAAAATACCAATATCTGACAGACTTGCATCTGGAACAGCGGGTTGTAGAAGGAGCAGAGCATCTTGCACAGACATGAAGCACATTTTTTGATGTAGCAACAAGAGGGATAACACTGGCAGTAGCCATTGTTTCTGCTTTAAAAGCTTCTTCAGCAGCCAGTTGAGCAAGCAAACTTATCCTCTCCCTCTTCTTTGCAGTTTCACTCCATTTGCCAAGTAAGAAATAAACAACCACAGGAAGCACAACCAGGACCAGAAACAGAACAGGTACATCAGCTTCCCTTGGCTCGAGCATGTCCCCACCAACAAATTCATGTCCAATTTTCTCTCAAAACCACTACCCAAAAGATAGTCTTTTACGCTACATGAGTCGAGATAAATCAATGTCTAGGATCAGCAAAATGAAATGTAACATGAATCATGCTCACCCTTCAAACCTGTCAAATTACTGATTCATAATATACAAAAAGTCAGCAATCAAAACTGAAAAACAAACATCTTACACTCCTCATAAGTAGCTCACATACAAGTAGATGCGCAGGTGTGTGTTCATAAAAATGGAAGAACTCTATTTATATTGGTTATTTTATAGTGTCCACAGTAAGAGTATGGCTTAGAAAACAAGAACAGAAGCAAAATCTATTTCGACACCTGAAATGCATCAGACAAGAAAGGAACAATCATATTTTCTTCTAAAATCTTATCAGGCCCTCAACAAAAAGGAAACAGCAGTAAAGGAAGCACTAGTATGAAAAACTATACTCAAATTACTTCACAAGACACAACCTCAGTATTCACTCCATTCAATATAAGGTAGTACAGAGAATCACTAAAATAGACAAGCTAAGATCCCTTGATTATACAGTAAGACATCAAGCATAAGGAAGTTTTCAAAGTCCATAGAGACAAAGTTAATACCACATAGCCTCAGCAATGCCCAGGTTCTCACAACAAGCAATAAAGAGCTTCCACCACACCTATTTATACAATGATCCAGTCACAGTAATGGTATATCTGAACTGCAAACCCCTCAAGTCATTTAAAAGTATTTCTTTTCTTTTTTCAACTTTGATAGATAAAAGTAAAATTATACAAAAACTCCAAAGAGCCCATCCTAAGAACATCATAACCATACAAAGCTACAGCATAAAAACTAATTTTGAAAAAATCAAAATCAAACCCAAGGAACAAATCACCAAGAGAACTACGGGATAGACCCAAATTTGCTAAAAGAAATACAATAGAGAAAACTACAAGCCCAAAGATGTCAAAAAACTCACCCTGGACCACGGTTAGAAGACTCCTGTCCCTTGAACTAATTTCTCTCCCTCAATATCATCCATATCTAAGAACATTTAGCCCAAAAATTTGCTACCTTTGCGCCACCCCAAGGCAAATATCACCTAAATCCTCACTACGATCTTGAACTCCATAAAGCATACCTTCAAAGCTTTCAACTGACTATACCTCTCAATTAGAGGAGCTCTAAAATACACAGGATCACAATGCAAAGTACCTTACTCAAAATGCATCCATCAACAATTACTCCTTAATCTCCAAGCAATTCCAAACTCAAAAAGAAAAAAAATAAAATAAAATAAAATTTGAAATTTCTCCCATCTAAAGGTACCCACTTGAAATACAAGAACTTGAGACAAACCCATCTCTTGAAACACTCACATTTCCCCAGATTTCCAAAAAATGCACAAAACAACACAAAGAAAATGCAGCATTACTGTACGGAGACAACATTAACACTTCACAAACCAACCATTGGCTTTACAAGTCAAAGAAAACTCAAGAAAGAGCAAAACCCCCGATGAAATCAAACACTACTTCAAAGTTCAAACTAAAGATTCAAGTACGAACCAAAATAAACCCAAAAAAACAAGGTTTTAAGTTAAGTTTTGAACGAAAACATACCTGATGGAAGGAAGGAAGAAAGAAAGAAGAAAAAGAATGAGGGGAAGAACCCAAAAACACTATCTTTCTTTGTCTTCCTTGTGCTTTGTCTTTCTTCTTGCAAAAAGATTCTTTGATTCTTTAGATGGAAAACACATACAACAACACTCTCTCTCTCTCTCTCTCTCTCTCTCTGTGTGTTCGGTTTTTGCTTCAGTACTTCACAGTTCACACTTTGGACACTCTCTTCTCTCTCTTTCACTTTTTTTAAGATTTGGTAATATTTATGTCTGTTCTGCTCAGACCCAACTCATTATACTTTTAACATATTTCGCCACGTGTCTTCTGGGTATTTGTTGTGAACTGAGACGAATTATTTTCACTCTCCTTCTTTATTTATTGTTTTTACACTTTCTATTTTTCACTCCATCAAATTATTTATTATTCTTCTTATCGTTTCAATAAAATCATGTAATAACTTGAAATTAAGGGTCGATTCTTTAATTCAAAAAAAAAAAGAGGAAGATAACATAATAAATACTTTTTACGTAATCAATGGGACCCAGTTTACAGAAGAAAAAACATAAAGAAGATGATTGGTTATTGGCCGTAGGATGAGCGAAACAGAAAGGGGTGAGAAAGAGTGGGACCCATTACAAGATGCAGTTCCCAATGATTTTAGGTGAGTGAAACGTGGACGGATGGGATCATTCTAGAGGATAAGTATAACTGTTGTGTGACAGACGACACGAATTTTTATAGTCTGTTAAATTATTATTTTTCTTTCTTTTTTTTTTTTTTTAGTCAAAGTTTTGAGGGTTTGACCATGTGAGGTGGTATGTGTGCATCCATGCCTATGATATCATTTGCTATTCCAACACTTAGATTGATTTTTATATGTTTGATTTGCATCACATAATGATGTGATAAAATCATGGTCATATTATGATCGATCTCGATCATCATCATGATTATCATCATCATATCTTTCCTTACCTGCGGAAATGAAGGAAAATCATACGCCTATCAACCTATGCCTATGATTTATTTAAGTCATTTTTTCAATTTCCATAATTAATTTTAAATTTTAAAAATTAATACTTTTAAATGCTAAATTTACAATTTTGTATTAAAATCTCCAGAGTTTTTAATTTTAATTTCTCATTTATAAAACAAAAGGAAACATTACTTTACCGTCATTCTATTGATATGTTAATCTTAAGAAAATTATCTTTTTTTTAATCACCGAGGATGTTTCAGATTAGTTTGTACGCACCTCAATTAATCATCCGAAGTCTTAGAACTGTTAACCAAATAAAAGTTTTAATGATCAACCCTATTAGTGTATAGAAGAACTCAAATTCAGAAACTTATGAAACTTCATTTTACTCTTTTACCATCACCCTTATTATATTTATATTAACAAATAACAATTAATATAAATATAAAATAAAATAGGTTAGTCGGATTAGATAATGACCAAAAACTTGTATCATAAATTTAAGTTAAAATGGTTTAACCCAATAAAAAGCTACACATAGACAAAACAAAGACTTGACATGAAAGAAAAAAAGGTGGATTGGAATTTCATAGTACATGACAAGAATTATTAGTTATGGATGGATGTCTTTGTAGAAGAAGAACATTCTATTAAATCCAAACACTATATCCTGTTCATGTTATGACCAAACCAAAACTATTAATATAAACTTATGTGTTACTACTATTTCCTTCAACAAATTCACTTCTCTCAATCCCTTGTTTTCAAATAAAAAATTTCATGAAAAATAGGACCCAGTTTCATTTAATCTAGGAGTCATTATAAATTGATTTAGTAACACTCACCTAACAAATTAAACATCAAGAATTAATAGAAATAGAATAATCAAATATAACTTTTCAAGAGATAGTTTGGTTCTTGAATGAATATACCTTTTGATATTCATTAAGAGATACTTTCATCAATTTTCAAATATTACTTCAGTCAATTTCTTCAATACAATTCAACTCTCTTTCCTCATAGTTATTATAACAATAATTAAAATAGACCTCATTACTTATAGCTTTAATACATTACTTAATGCAAGTTAGTTGAAGTGCGTATATATATATAAAGCAAGAGAATAAGACCAATAAATATAAATTAATGGTCAAAGTCTAAACCATATTGAATTTAATTATTTACATTATTTGTTAGTTGGAAGATTAGAAAAGTAATTATAAAAATAAGCACCACCCTTTTAATTTGTCATTGTCATATAGATGCATGAATCCAACCAGATTATGAAAACTTAATAAACAATTTTGACCGAGGAGCTCACGTGCAATAATTTAGAAGTAAATTTATTATTGAACTCCAATTATAAGATTCATGAATGCTACTTCTACCTGTTATTCAAATCAACTTTCTTAGATTTAACCCATTTTAGAAAGATTCCTGCACCTTGCAGGATCCATTTTTCTATCAATTGTCTTCATCTTCTTTGCTGCTATTCTGCCAACGGAATAAAGATAAAAATAAGACGGTAAAGGGATTATTTGATACAGACCTTTAAGTGCTTATATGTGTATTCTACACAAGAAATCATCAAAAACCTTCACTGAAATTTCCTACAGTTCTGTCATAAACAGCTGCTCAATATTTGAGACCAGCCTTCAAAAGGGACTTCTTGGATACAATGATCTTAAAGCCCATACAAAATGTAGGACTATAATTAAAAAGCCCAAAACATGTTAGAAATTCATCATAAACCTACCTCTTTCATCTTTGAAGAAAATAAAGACACAAAGAATGAAGAAACACAGACTTAATTTCTTCTATGATGTTTTTTATTAAATAAAGAAGACAGAAATAAATAAGTTACAATGGTGAGACAATTCTGAAAAGGAACTCTCTTAAAGGAAAAAAGAAAAATAAATCAAGAAGATTGGTAATTAGGAATTCAATCTTCTTGTATAGGAAAAGAATAATTAAGAAATAAAAAACTCCTGAAAACAAGATACGTTAGCTAATACATAGACTCTTAACAAGGAAACAAAACAATCTAATAAATACAATCAACGGCTTGACTTTTAACACTCCCCCTCAAGCCAATATATAGATGTTGATTATACCAAGTTACTCTACAAAGTCTTCAAAGTTGGTCAAGCAAGAGCTTGTGTGAGAATATTTGCACCTTGACCGGTTGCCGGAGTGTAGCTAACCTTAAAAATTTATTCTTTAATCTTTTCTTTGATAAAATGTCGGTCTATCTCCACATGCTTAGTTCGATCATGATAAACCAGATTCTTGGCTGTACTGATAGTGGCTTGATTGTCATAGTATAATTCCCTAAGATGCTTCAAGGTGACCTTTAATTCTAACAATAATCTTTGTAACCAAATTCCTTTACAAATTCCCTATGTAATAGCTCAAAATTATGCTTCTGCACTACTACGGGCTAAAACTAATTGCTTCTTGCTTCTCTAAGTCACCAAGTTTCCCCACACATAAGAACAATATCCAGAAGTTGATCATCAATCTGTAATGGATCTTGCCCAATCTGCATCTGAATAAACTTTGATATTTCTCTTAGAAGTTCTTGAGAAGAATATACCCTCACCTGAAGTCATCTTGACATATTTCAAACTTTTGTATATAACAATCATATGTCTCTCAGTCGGGCAATTCATGAACTGGCTTACTACACTGATGGAGAAACCGATGTCAAGTCTAGTGTGGGAGAGATAGATGAATTTCCCTACAAGGTGTTGATATCGTCCCTTTTCGATAGGAGCACTCCCATCATTAATTTCAAGCTTGACTGTTGGCTCCATAGAGGTCTTGGCAGGTTTACAACCAAGCATTCTAGTTTCACTCAACAAATCCACTTACGTTGGGAGACAAAGATACCTTTCCTTGACTGACCAATTTCCATCCCGAGGAAGTACTTGAGGTTCCCTAGGTCCTTGATCTCAACTTCTTTATCTAAGAATTGTTTGAGAAGTCTAATTTCTTCCTCATGGTCACCTTTTAGAAGATGTCGTCCACATAAACAATAATAATGGCCATCTTCTCTTCCAAGAAATGCTTCACAAACAAATTATGGTCATATTAACACTAGGAATATCCATAACCTTTTACTGCTTTAGTAAATCTGTCAAACCATGCCTGCGAAGATTGCTTGAGTCCATACAAGGATTTTTGAAGTCTACAAACCTTGTTGAAGTTAGATGATGTCTCAAGTCCGTCAGGAATATCCATGTTGACTTCTTCCTCTAGATCACCATTAAGGAAGGCGTTCTTCACATCCAGCTGGTGCAAATACCAATTAAAGTTAGCTACCAAGGATAAAAGTACACGAACAGTGTTGAGCTTGGCATCTGGAGCAAAAATTTCCTAATAGTCAATGCCATAGGATTTGGTGAATCCTTTGGCGACCAAATGAGTTTTATACCTATCCAAACTACCATCCGCCTTATATTTCATTATGAAGATCCACTTACACCCAATAGTCTTCTTACAGCTCGGAAGATCAGTAATTTCCTAAGTTTCATTCTTTCTTAGTGCTTGAATCTCTTCATTAACGGCAACCTTCCACTTAAGACACTCGAAAGTTTCTTGAATATTGCAAGGAACTTGTATCTTTGTAAGACTAATAGTGAAGGCACGAAAAGAAGGTGACAAACCATCATATGAAATAAAGTTTCCAATGGGATGTTGAGTGCATGACCGAACCCTTTTCTCCAAGCTATGGACATATTTAGGATCTCATTTTCAACTCAAAATCAATACAACTATCTAAGTTATAACTATTACCTTGAATTTCAAGAGGATTAGGACTTGGTTCAGCTTCATGGTTTTGTTGAGGAAGTGCTATTTCCTTTGTTTCCTCTTGAATGTGCTCCATATCCTACAAGTCAACAATGAAGTCAGTGTTTTTGGCAGGTAGAGGCTAAATGACTCTAAAGGAATGTGATTTTTTGACACTAAGAGATTGTGATTTTCTGTGGTGATGGGTGACTCTAGGAATGACTCAAAGTCCCAAAAATGATATTCTTAAGTTGAGTTCTCCCCCTAAATATCAGTTTTGGGGTAGTATGGCTGATTCTAAAAAAAGGTGACATCCAATGAATTTTAGAATTTTCTTGTGACAAGAAAGTAACACTTATATCCTTTTTTATTTGTCGAATACCTAAGAAAGATGCACTTAAGTGACCTAGGATCAAGTTTACTTATATGTTGTTGATGGACATGGACTAAGAAAGATGCACTTAAGTGACCTAGGATCAAGTTTCCTTATATGTTGTTGATGGACATGGACAAAGACAAAGACAGAGCACCCAAAAATTTTAGGTGGAACAATGGAAATGAGACAAGTAGTCGAAAAAAAATTTAGAAAGGTTTGACACAGTGTTTGAAATTTTAGCACCCTAGATGGCATCCTATTGATAAGATATATTGCTGTAAGAATGACTTCCCCCTAGAAGAATTTAGGTACATTTGTGGAGAACATTAGTAACATAACTACCTCTAACAAATGTCTACTTTTCCTTTCAACGACTTCATTTTGTTGCGGGTTTCTACACAGGAACTTAAGTGAACTATCCTTTCTTTTGATTGGAATTCTCCTAGTACAACGTTGAAGTAATCCCTAACATTGTTAGACTTTAGGATTTGGATTTGTGACTGGAATTGGGTCTGAGTTATATTTTTGAAATTTTTAAAGATTTGACCTGTTTCTGATTTGTCTTTCATAAGAAACACCCAGGTTAATCTAGTATGATCATCTATGAATGAGACAAAGCACTTAGCAGCCGTTACATTTTTTATTTTTGACAGACCCCAAATATCACTGTGAATCATTAATGAATGGTCTAGATGCTTTATAGGGTTGAACATAAAAATGAGATCGGACATGCTTGGATAATTGACAGATTTCACACTCAAGAGATTTTAGATTTTTATTAAATAACAAAGGACATAAACGTTTGAGGTACATAAAATTGGGAAGACCTAAGTGATAGTACCATAACATAATAGTACTATCATTATTTTGACGAAATACTGAAAAAGAACTAACACCAACTGTTGTTTGAGGTTGTTTTTGTGAATAGGGGCACTCCTTAAAGATATAGAGTCCAGAGCACCCCTTAGCATTGCCAATCATCTTCCCCGAATCCAAATCTTGAAATTCACAATGAGTAGAGAAAAAATCAATAACACGCCTCCTTTCCTTAGTAAGTTAACTAATTGACAACAAATTGCAGTCCAAGTTAGGAATATGAAGAAAATAATTGAGTGTAATATCTTTTGATAACACAAGTGAACATGTATCGGTAACTTTTGATAGTGAACCATCTGCTATTTTAACAGTTATTTGGACAGGAGCTAAATGTATTAAAAACTGTTGCATCTCTCGCCAGATGATCTTGAGTCCACAATTCAAGGTCTGTTTTGTTTCTTATACACAGAAAAAACGCTCATAGAATTACCTTTGTGAGCCAAGGTTCCGGAACCAATGACATGATTTGAAGACGAACTGATTTGTGACTGAGTAGACAGAAGAGGAGACAATAATTTTTGAAGCAGCTTCATTTGTTCCTTGTTAAAAGGACTTACTTCAGGTGATGGTGGCTCTTCTGTGGAGGTGTGATTTCCTTGGCCTTCTTTCTCCATTTGACTTGTTGGCTTCCCATGTAATTTCCAACATGTTTCCCATTAAATGTCCTGGTTTTCTACAATGATCACACCAAGGCCTTTCTCCTTTATTTTCTAGCGATTATCTGAAGGGGCAAGCTGAGTTCCTCAAGTGAAAAAAATAGTTTTCAACTACATTCAGATGTTGAGGTACTTGATTAATTCGTAAATCATATTTTTTTTTATAAAATTTTTGATTTAAAGGGTATACATTAACCTTTTTTTTATCTATACTTAATATTCCAAGAATCAATGCAAAAAAAAAATAATTTGAATCAACAAACAAAATTCAAATTATTGATAAAAATGTCCATAATCACAATAATGAAGCGAATAATATCCAAATCGATTGTCTCCTACTCTGACTGATAAATCCAAGAGAAATTGCTATATCCTATATTCAAAAGGGAGAAATGTGTCTGGATAATTTCATGATTGAGAAAGATTTAACTATTACCGAATTGATGAAAAAGGGAATAGTGATTATCGAACCGGCTCGTCTGTCTGTAAAAAATGATGGACAATTTTTTCTATATCAAACCATAGGTATTTCATTGGTTCATAAGAATAAGCGCCAATTTTAATTTAATAAAAGATACCGAGAAAAAGGCTATGTTGATAAGAAAGTTTTTTATGAATGTATTCCAAGCCATCAACTTCATCATGACCTTCTTCCTGCTTTCCCGTCAACCTTTAGAGAAAGCTTCCCTAAGACTAGGTGATGTCTTTGTTCCCATGAGTCTCCCACATACCTCATCAAGATTTTTATTCAAACCTAGCAAAAACTTGTAAACATGTTTTTTCTTTACAATCTTTTTGTACAATGATCCATCAACAATACATGACTAGTTATGAACCTCATACATATCAAGTTGATGTCAGTTGCGCGTAAGTATATTAAAATGTTGAGTTCCCATGAGATCACCTTGTCGCAGACCATGGAGAATCCATTCGATCTCTACCACCTCCGAAGTGTTCTCGGTGTCAGATTAAGTTTCCTTGGCTGAGATCTTAGCAGTTTCGAATGCCAAAAAATTCTCGCAATGTCCATGTTCATCGAGTTGACAAGCCATGACATCACTATATTGTTTTTTGCTAACCACTTCTTGTAGGTAAGAGCCGTTGGTTCTAGGGCTGCTGAAGCATAAGTGAGGTAATTGTGTTTTTCTTTCTCGCGAAAGAACATTAAGATGGATTGAGACTATGGAACATAATTGTGTCCAATCAACTTATGAGAGGCAATAAGAACATGGGTGGCTTTGGGCATTACTTTCTGTAGCCATATTAGAGGCTGATTCATATTCGGGCATTAAGATTTGGAAGACCTAGAGATAACGAATAAGAATAACTCGATGATGAAGATAAATAAGACAAGATTAAACTTGCTTTGATATCATGAAAAAAATAAAGAATGAAGAAACATAGACTTCTGTGATGTTTTTTTATTGAATAAAGAAGACAAAAATAAATTGGTTACAATAGTGAGATAATTTAAAAAATGAATCTCTTTTAAAGAAAAAAATAAAAATAAATCAAGAAGATTTAGTAACTAGAAAATTAATCTATTAAAGAAAAGAAATAATTAAGAAATAAAAAACTTCCAAAATAATAAAAACTTCTAAAAATAAGATACAGAGTCTAATTCTTACCGCCTAATACATATACTCTTCTTAAGGAAACGAAACGATCAACTAATGAAATAAACAGAATCAACGGTTTCACTTTCAACAACCTTGATCCTTCATCTTCACTCCTACAACACCAACAATTCTCAGCAGAAATGGGTGCACAGAGACAACAAACCGAAGAAGAAGAACATCAATCTCCAACAACAAGAACCTACTGGCGATGGAGCAAGCAAGACTTCTTCCCCGAGCCTTCTTTCCAAAACTTCACTTCCTACAGGTCCGCACTCTCCCAAACATACCCCCGCCTCAAAAACTGCCTCTTTTCTCGCTCCACAGACGCCAACGAACTCATCACTCTGCAAAAAGAAAGTGAAAAAACCCTTCAAAAATGCCTCACTTGGTGGGACTTAATCTGGCTAAGTTTCGGCTCCGTCGTCGGCTCCGGAATATTCGTCATCACCGGCCAAGAAGCTCATGACCACGCCGGACCCGCCATTGTTTTATCCTATTTAGCTTCCGGGGTCTCCGCACTGCTCTCTGTGTTTTGCTATACAGAGTTTGCCGTTGAAATTCCCGTTGCAGGTGGGTCCTTTTCGTATCTTCGTGTTGAATTAGGCGACTTTATTGCTTATATTGCAGCTGGGAATATTCTTCTAGAAGCTGTTGTTGGTGCGGCCGGGTTAGGGAGGTCTTGGTCTTCGTATTTGGCGAGTATGATTGATGCTGATAACTCTGATTTGTTGCGTTTTGAAGTTAAGTCTTTTGCTAAAGGTTTTAACTTGTTGGACCCGGTTGCAGTTTTGGTGCTTTTGGTTGCTAATGGGATAGCAATGAGTGGGACGAGGAGGACTTCTTGGTTGAATTGGGTTAGTTCTATTGTGACTGCTTGTGTGATTGTGTTTGTTATTGTTGTTGGGTTTGTTCATGGCAAGAGTTCAAATTTAGTGCCATTTTTACCTTTTGGTGCAAAGGGGGTTTTTGAAGCTGCAGCTGTCGTTTATTGGTCTTATACTGGTTTTGACATGGTGGCAACCATGGCTGAAGAGACTAAGCGTCCTGCAAGGGATATACCGATTGGTTTGGTTGGTTCAATGTCTATGATTACTGTGATTTATTGTTTGATGGCTTTGGCATTGACCATGATGGTAAAGTATACCCAAATTGATGTAAATGCTGCATACTCGGTTGCTTTTGAACAAATTGGCATGAAATGGGCTAAGTATTTGGTGAGTGTGTGTGCACTTAAGGGAATGACTACAAGTTTGTTGGTGGGATCGCTTGGGCAAGCTCGATACACGACTCAGATTGCTAGAGCTCATATGATTCCTCCCTGGTTTGCTCTAGTTCACCCAAAAACTGGAACACCTATTTATGCTACTTTGTTGGTAACCATTCTTAGTGCCATTATTGCATTTTTCTCTAGTTTAGATGTCTTGTCAAGTGTTTTCTCTTTTAGTACGCTCTTAATTTTTATGCTTGTGGCTGTTGCATTGCTTGTGAGGCGATACTATGAGAAGGATGTTACTCCAAAGAATGATTTGGTTAAGTTTTTAGTGTGTCTGTTTGTTGTAATTGCTTCTTCTTTAGGTGTAACAGCAATCTGGAATTCAAATGGGAAGGGTTGGATTGGGTATGTGATAACTGCAGTGCTTTGGTTTTTGGGAACTCTGGGAATGGTATTGCTTCCAAAGCAGCGTGTTCCAAAACTTTGGGGGGTTCCTTTAGTTCCATGGTTACCATCATTGTCAATTGGGATGAATTTATTTCTATTAGGGTCATTGGGTTATGTGGCATTCTGGAGGTTCTTAATTAGCAGTGTAGTAATGCTTGTGTATTATGTGTTGGTTGGTCTTCATGCTACTTATGATGTGGCTCATCAGAACCTAGAAGAATCAAAACTCGATGAAGGCCTGTGAAATATAGTCAAGGGATGCTTCAAAGCAGAAGTAGTATTGTACATTAGTGGTGGTATAGATATTCTTCATATGGCTAAAGATGAACTGTGTAATACAGAGCAAATTATTATCAGAAACTGTAATTTTGAAATGAAATTGCATTTGTCCAACCTTGTTTGTTTAATTATTGGTTTTTTTTTTGGGTCAGGAATAAATGGCTATTCTGTGGAAGTCTGTGATGTTTGTTAAATTTTCAATGTAAATATACAGTTTGGTGAAACTTAACCCTGATTACATACATTCATTGCTGCAATTCGTTGGGTCCTTAAGTCTCACCACAGATTATGTCATTCCTTTATGAAATTTGTGTTCGATTCCAATCAGTCATTGTTTCTGATTGCAGAGTGGCCATAACTAAAGCCATCGAAAGTCTAAATTAACTTAACTATTATGTAGAGCGTACCTCTCAAAATCCTGCAACAGGCATGTCTACTGTTTGTAAAACAGACATTAGATTACAGTTCTTGTTTCGGTTTTCATGAACATTTTCGTATGAATCTACTATATGATCACTGTGAGCTTGGTATTGATTTTTTGATTCATGTATCTTCATTGGTTTATGGTTCAGGCAATCTTATCCATGTATTAACCGCAATCTACTGTTTTCTGTTCAAAAGGATTAAAATCTTCTTATCAAATAGTTTAGAGAAACAGTTTAAATTATTCCATTGCATTTAGAAATGCATCAAATTAAAACTTTCTTCAATCATGTGTTCATTACATACTCAACTGAATGAAGATCTTCCAAGACTATAAGACCATCACAGAGGTACTCTTCTTTGTTGCACTATATTTTAGATAGTGGTGAATCAGAATGTTATGAGGAAGCGATGCAAGTTGGTAACTCATTCAAGTGGAAGTTAACTATAAAAGATGAGAAAAGCAAAATGAAGGATTGGAAAGTAAGGACTCGCTATTAACAAATCAAACCTAACATTTGACAGATTGCCGCTCATGCTTAGTTTCTAATAATCAATTAACTGGGCGAATCCCTCCTATTTGCAAATTAACATCCCTTCAAGGTCTTGATTTGTCTAAAAACAATTTGAGTGGAAAATTTCCACAATTTATTGGCAACTTTCCCTGTGTTGCATCTAGGGATGAATAACCTAGACAAAGAAACATTAGGAGGTAAAGCAAGAAAGAAAGAATATAACCATTTTCACATCCACTGACCTGTCAAAACAGTCAGTTCTAAGGAAGAATTCCTGAAATTTTTGGAAACTTTAAGTCGCTAATATTATTTAACCTTTCTCACAATAGCCTAATAGTTAAGATTCCATTGTCATTTGGGAATTTTGACATCATTCAATCATAAGATCTCTCTTCAAACAAATTTGATGGAAGGATTTCTGAGCAAATGAAAAGTCTCTCATTCCTAGCAATATAATTCAATCACACAATCAACTCCAGGGCCGATTCCTCGAGGTGGTCAATTTATACTCACGAGTTATTCCTTTACTGGAAACATAGGGGTGTGTCAGAGAGCCATTGCAGTGAGACATGTCAATAATTGGATGTGGTTGTACCAACATCTAATGTAGGGAAGAGGAAGATTTTTCTCATCCTCTAGACATATTGATCTATGAGGATTTCAAAAAAATTCTGACACGAGATATTCATAGATACAAAATCAACTCTGCATTTAACAAGTATCTAAATTTTGCTGTCACTTAAAATTGTTATCACCATAAATTTATAAATCTTAAAGAGATGGTTTTGCCTTAGATGCCTTACGAAACATTAGGCATTCCATGCTTTTCACATGGCGTTTGAGGTCATTCAGTTTGTATTTGACCTTGCCTTTTAAGTCCTAGAGGAACAAGAATTGGCATGTTTATCTGTCAGTATTCTCAAATTTACAGCTTATACTTTTTCTTCTCTTTTTCATTTGCTTGAATCATGGGTTTCTATTTCTTGAATTGAAGACAAATTCAATTGAATCAATGGATTAAGACAGTAAAATCGTCTCTAATCTTCACTAATTCCTCAACTTTTGTCAGTCTGTGTGAGGGTAACTCAAAGTTTCAAAGACTTACAACATATGCATATTCATATTGATTTGGTGGGATTTTATAAGGCTCTTCTGCACATAGCAGCTTAATGTGTTATCTATACATTTATACAACAAACTCCCAACAATACTATAAATCAGATGGTTTCTGCAGCTCTTTAGCTGTTCTGGTTTTTTTTGCTGTTTTTTGTGGCGATTTGTTTTTCTACTAGGTGGTGTTTTATGGGTTTGTTATAGGCACTCAAGGACTCCGTGTGGGCTGATTTGTAAAGGATTGTACATCTTTGCCTCTTTGTCTCGTCCCTTGGAATTTTTATCCTAGTCGGGATGCTGGGCGTTTTCCCTTTTAGGTGTATTTTTTTATTCTAATTACCATTTACCCAAAAATACTATAAACACAAAAAAAACTTCCCCTGGTTTCGGAAATACCACTTGCTGTTAGTCAACGTTATAATCAGAAGACTTTTCTTGAAAAAGAGAGAAAGAAAATCCTTTTCACGCGGTTTACTCTAGGCCTGGGCCGGCTCAAGTCAGGTCTAATGCCTGTTGTTTATCATACAAATACAATAATGGTCCCAATGAAACAACCCACAAGATTCTTTGTTTTACAATATGCTATCTATCTCTTTTCCCATCTAACTTTTCTTGCATTTCATCTTTTTTTTTTTTCACTGTTTGGGAATCAAAACCAGCCACGCACTAGTCTCCTCTTATTTGTTTAACCCAAGTCCTTCCATATTTGACTGCTGAAACTTTTTACCGTAAAGAAGTGCAGTTGAGCCTTTAACAAAAGCATATTCTTGTATTAAGAAACGTGATTTTGTGTTTATGCATTAAACAAGAAAGGTAATTACAAGATAATACAAAGTATAACTCTTAATCTAAGCCATTGTTTTGAGTATTGAATTACATTAGGCAACTATTTTCTCAAAGTGGATCAGCCTGTTATCTGCAAGTTTTGAACTGTATGCAGATTTTTTGTATTCAAACCATGTAAACTCTTTGTACAAGCTTTGTTCATGGCCTTTCATGAGTGAAGGCAATGGAGCTATTTTCTCACTCAATGGTGGTCCGCCAAAATAAATCATTGAAACTCTTGATTTCGAACTGTTTGCCAGAACTCTATGCCTCACACTTTTAAACCTCCCATTGGTCAGCACCTGCATAATCACCCACCAAACACAGAAATCTCCATTAACTAACCATTATTCAACTCCATTAAGCACTATTCCATCTCAATAGAGATAAAAAAAAAAAAACTTTCTTTTTCAGGTAATGGAATAAGTTCGATAGTAGAAACACAAGCGAGTTTTAAGTGGGATGAATGTATTCCATGAATATAGATAAGAACGGAGTGCATGTATGCACAGAAGAAAAATTATTGGAGGGTGGTGAACTTACCAAACAGTGAAGTCTTGAAAAAGTTAAAAAGAAAGATATATTATTGTCTCTCTGATAGAGATAGGTGTAAATAGTGATAAATAAACAATAAAAACTGTATAAAATTTGTACCTGTAATGAGTCTCCAACATTGATAAAAAAGGAGTTTTGATCAGGAGGAACTGAAATCCAACTCCCATCTCTGAGAGAAATTTGCAAGCCAGAAGTGTTGTTGGATCTCAACACTGAAATAATCTGAGGGTCTGTGTGTTCTCCAAATCCAATCATATTGCTGTTAATTCCATTCAGAGATTGAATATCAGGACATGGCGGATAGTGATTCAGCCTGAAAACAGAGTCACTCTGTTCATCCATCAAAAGCTTACTGAACACATTCCTTTGTTGAATCTTCAATCCATCCGCCATCAGTTCCAAAATCTCACACGCCATTTTCTTCACCGCCGATAAATAATCATTCAAAGCGCCACTGCAAGCACACCAAAACAATATTATAAACAAATTAAAAAAAGAAAGAAGAATGATTTTTGATTGATTTTTCTGAAAGTTTATACCGGAACTTTTCCGGATTTTTGCCGAGAAGTGAAACGAATCGTTGGAGATTAGACTCTTGATTGGCGGTGAAGAGGAGGTATTCAACCCAACCCACGTCACCGTTTGGTCCGATACTTTTGTTGCCGTAGCCGAAGGGGCGGGGAGGGCCGGCTTGTGCTTTCTCCGGGAGAGGTAAAGAGAAGAACTTAACGGCTTCAGCTTCGAGCCTGGAAATGAATTCCAGGGGAACTCCATGGTTGATGACTTTGAAGAAACCGAACTCTTCACATGCCTTGATTATGAGGGTTTTGGCATCAGGTTTTGAGAGGTCGATTAAAGGGATTGCGGGGAACAATGTGGAGGTTTTGCAAGAAGTTTTTGTGAATGGAAACTGTTGGATTGCTGGCTTGGCCAAAGCCACCATTGTTGCCTTTGTATATGAGCTTTTGTTTAGAGAAGTGAATTGAATTGAATGGCTTTGAGTTCGGCGGGGCTATTTATACGAGAAAAATGTGGAGCAAAAAAAAAAAAAAAAAAAGAAAAATTAAATTGTTAACCTTTATTAGAGGAGAGAATAACTTAATACACCCTGAGCTTTTGGTTGTTCCATCAAGGTCCTGGCATTTCAAATGTTAAGAAATACCCCTTTAAGCTAACTAAGGGGTGTTCATAACTAGTTAACCGATTTTCTGAACCGAATCGGTTAAGGAGAAAATCGGTTTTTCCTTTAACTTATTTTTAATTTTGATTTTTTCCTAATTTAAACCGGTTTTATATTTTATTATTTTTATAAAAACCGGTTTTATTGTTTTTATTTTTTATTTTATTATTTTTATAATAAACCGGTTTCGGTTAACTGATTCCCATAACCCATAAACCGATAATCAAACCGAAAAACTAGTTTTTGTATTTCTTTGAACTAAAACCAAACCGATTTTTCGGATAACTAAAAAACCGGTTTGGTTTGGTTTCTACATTTTTTTTTAACATCCTTGACAACAATTAATGAAATATTAACTTTGAAACAATATTTTTTATGCAAAGAACAATGAATTAAAGGTGAATTACGGATTTTTTTCCTTATATATATAAGTGAATTATATATTTCACCTTTTATATGGGTTAACTTATGTTAGAATCAAGAGGTCTATGATAGTTTA